AGTGGCGGTGGAGGTGGTATCGGTACACCGTATCATATGGTGGCGCAACCTGTGACAATCGTCGCCCTGCGCGGCTCCTGACGTTTTGACGGCGCCCCGTAAATTAATACTGTCAACAGCCGAAACTTATTAATAACTTTTCAATTTAACTCTCCGCGTCCCGTGTCACTCGGTCCCCGTGCAACTTTGGCCAAGCTACCGTCGAGCTCGCCCTCGCTGTACAATGCAGGCGCAACACGTATAATATACACCGCGGAAAGTTATTAAAAATTGGACAGACATGATATTTTTAGTGGGTGAATCTGCTATTTTTACAGCATTCCGTCATTGTTCGAATGGGCGATGCGATAAATATGCCTACGTGTCACTTCTTCGAGATCTGATTTTCTGCACTAACGTGCGAATAATTGTATTTTGTGGCAAAACTATAACTCATTTTTCAGCATTTTTTTTTTTCAATTTTCATTTTAAAAAGTTAATATTGAAATATTTGTATCATATTTTGACTTTTAAGGAACTCGAATATGTTAATGTTTTAGAATTTGATTAGCCTACCTACATAATATGAGGTCAGTAGAGGTCAGTATATAATTGTTAAAAACCTAAATTTCTATTAAGTCGTTGTTGGTAATAATAATAAACCAGTTAATTATCCACATAAAAAAAGAGTGCGTTAGAGCTGAAAGAGATATTGTTCTTATAACTATTGATGAAATCGATAGAATTCGTTCACATGCGATAAATTGATCAATATATTAAGTACCATACCGTTGTCAGATAACGGTCAATAGTAGACGATTAAGTCATGAGCCCTACTTTCTTAGTTCATACATCATTGATAAACATAAAAACATATTATGTTTAATCGATAAATACACTTTTAAGGTAGTAATAACAAACGTTTTTCTCGTGGATATCTTTAATACTCGGCTTGGTAAAGATAATAACTGTTTGATGAAATAGTTGTTAAAACGAATGAATAACAATCATCGCAAGAAAAACTGTAAAGTTGCGGTCTATACTTTCGTTATTTTTTTTATCGGCTTTAGAAAGTTACACGGTACGTGAATTTGAATTTTACCACTTTTTTTTTGGCCTTAAAAAATATTCTCACATATTATTATATTTTGTGTGCTACCGTTTCATTAGTACACGTAAATCGTAATATTTGTATGTACGTTTGCGGTAAAAAAAAAACTATTACACTACAATACGAGTATGATATGATATTGCGCGCGATGGAAAGGGTGGGACTAAATCGCGCAGCCAACTCATGTACATACGTATAATATATAAAATATAATATATGTATCGATATATGCCTAATGTGTGTACACTCATATAAAAACAGATGGATTATTACAATTCAAATGTACTGGTGGCGTCCTGGCCGAGTATTTTTCTCGCGTGTTCACCGGCAGAACGATCACGTTCCTTCTTTATATTATTATTATTATTATTATTATATATATATACACACTAGAAAGTGACCCTTTATTTTGCGGTTGGGCGCCTATCAACCGTAACAGGCCAATCGTCTGTTTCCAATATTATTATCATACTCCACTACGACAACGGAAAAATAATAATAATAATTTTTCATAATGTTATAATATTGTTTTTTCTTTATCCCATTTTCCCCCTTCCTCTCCTCCTTCCCCTTCCCCACACCAGCCAATGCGTCATGATAACGCCAACAAATTGCCGACTGCGTACCAAAAACGATCACACGTATCACATACAGTACACTGTATACGCCTAAATATTATGTTGGACTACTTTTAAAAAAAATGATACTATTCTATGTTACAGGTGTATACGCATTACACGCAGTTATTTCGCGTAAATACTGATAAGGTGATAGTTTGATTTGGTTCCCGAAAATCAGGTCGTGATAATATTACATCAGTATCGCAGCTATCGTTCTATACATTTTGGACAGACCAAAAGAAATCGCATTCGAAACGATGAATGAGTTTGGCTACAACTGGTCTCTCTTAAATTACTGCTAACTAACCAGTTGTATGGTTTTTTTAAGTCATTCGTAAAGTTTACTAACTGGTTGCATAAGTACTTACTACCTCGTCAGATTCTAGCTCCCGGCTAATTTATGCACTCTCCTTATTTTATTATGATTTACGGATAAGCTTACCAATCATACTGCACAATATATGTCATACGGTGCATTTTTATAACTACACAAATAACATCACCCGGGGAAAACGTTGACGTATATGAACGTCAACGTTTGCCGCTGACTATAAGTGTATTTAAAATTCGATTTCTTACTACGTACTATATCGATTAACGCACAAGGGCAATTATGGGAGGAGGCGGGGAAAGGTAATATATTTAATTAATTTTATTTTCAACGCAGTCATAAATTATCTTATTCCACGCTACGCCAAATCGCTATGTAAACACTAGGGTATGTACCCCATTGTTTATATCCTCAGATGCATCAATTAACAATTTTGCGTACACTTTGCGGTATCGTGAATTAGGTTTCATAAATCGTAGACGTCGTGGATGTATGGCTACCGCCGATGTTTAAACTTAAACCACAGTCCACACGACCACTAATAGATGACTGAACGTAATCAGTAATCACTTATAAAATATAGTGGCTGTATACATACTACATACCTGTATAAAGAACAACTTACACCTATTAACTTAATAAATACACAATTTTAAAAGAAATATAAACAGTTGTGAATATTTTTTTTATCTACGAACTCGCGAGTTGATTAATTAATTTTTTTTAAAATTTTTTTTTTTTTAAACATTTACAATCTGTACATAAAATATACAATAAGAAAAAATATGTTAACAATGTAAATATGTGACTTGGAGACTTTGGGTAGGGAACCTATCCAGTGATAGGACCCTATGACATGTAATTAATTAATTAGCGTAATAAAGTAAATTATTGGTAGTTTTTCCGGTTCACTTTTTTATTTTATTATGAAATGTATTTAGTAGAGAATACCTAATGATTCATAGTAGTAGATTGACAGCTGGATTAATTAATTTTTTTAACGTATAATTAATGATTGATGCTTGTTAATAAAAAAAGACGCCGTTCAACGTTTTTTTATTACTTTTCTGTAGATTACATGAAGAATTATAAAAAAAAAATGTTCGTCTATTTATCTCATACTATTCAATCACTTGAACAATAAAGCTAATTGATCCCCATTTAAACCTGCAGTAACAAAAAGTTACATATAAATCCATGATATTTCTCTGTGATTATGTCATTATCGCAAATTTACAAAATAAAATATTTAATAATGTGTCAGTATCGGCGTTTCCATTGTTTCTATAAATATATTCTTGAATATATATGTATATTTAAATCACTATTTAACTATAATTTGCGGTCTTAAAGTGACACGTTAAACCAACTAAAGACGCTGCAATTAGTATATTATTCTGCGAGAACGGATAATTATTATACTAAGAATGTTTTTACGCTTTGTACACCTAACCTATAAGTACCTGTCTGAAAGTATATAGTTCATGTTGTCATTTATTGACCTATTCTATTTTAATATTTCTTCCTACGTGATTATTTGACATTGCGACTACACGTACAATTAACTAAGACCACCATTCAGTATTCAACATTATTTAAAAACTCTTCTTAAAGAAAATGTTATACCACATGCTATTAATACATGTTAAATTTTACATAGTAATTAAAAATAGACACTTTTTTGAAAAATCCAGAGTATTTACTCTATATTATTATCTTCTTTGAACTATTATTATTAAATGCACGCATTCTGTGTTTGCTGTGGTAATCAACAAACTAATGTAATACCAAAATAGAGTTCTTATTACTGTGCTAATAAACACGCATTACAATTAAGATTTCGCAAAAATATTGCCTAAACCAATCGCCCTCTAAAACATACAATATGGGTAAACTATCGTAGAAATCGAATGTACCTACTATCTATACAATATATTATCGTAAATCCACTGTTCACGCGGTCCGTATACTTTATGTTCATGTACTCAAAACACGGGCTGATGTCAAATATCGACGAGTTTTAAACGAAATGCTCAATGCGATTAACACTCGTTAACCATCGCTCATCCGTAAGCCGATTATCGTCCGTAGGACAGGATACGTACACATTAGAATTTGTGTGTTTTTTTCTTTATTTATATTTACGTTCTTCTACTTATCCATCAAACAACAAATTCATATTTTCGTCCTACAAAATAGTATTCACACGGGCGATCGCGCGCGGGCGTTTATTTTTATTTTCGCCCCGAGGCATTGTCTCCTTGCCGTGCATGTATATTGTACACATACAATATTACATATGACGGTGTATTCGAAACGTGAATAATCGCCGTGTCCTTAGCACAGTCAGCTATTAATTTACCGCCTAAAAAATATCCTCGACAATTGGGCTCACGTGCACACATATACATACATACTTACAGCGTTGTCGTCGCGCGCGCGCGCGCGCTCGTTGCATTATCATTACTTCGGTTGTGATTATTAATTTTTATAAAATATTTTCTTTTCTTCGCCTTCGAGTGTTATACAAGTCGTTCCGCGTGTACGCCCTGCGCGAGCATCATTCTAATTGACGACAAGGACTAATGAGCTATTATAATATTATATTGTAATGCTCGCACCTCGACGGGTACGCGTCGCCACCGCCAAACAATGCACACTCCGACAACACGGCGGCGGCCGAACAACTTTATTTATTATTATTATTATATATATAACCTAACCTATCTTTTTTTACAACAATAAGGCATTTGTGTTCACCATTTTCTTTTTATCCGCGTCTCGACTCCGTTCAAACCGCTTGAATCTCCCGCGGATCACGGGTCAAATACGGGACACAACAAAATGTCGCTCGAGCTATTTTAACATTGTAAAACACTTGCACAAGATACATCCGTTAGCGGTAGTGTACGGTCAGGTTTTTTAATCGTGTCGGTGGGCTTTTTTTGTTTGTTTACAGAAGACCATGCAAACTTGACGGTAGCCGGATCAGAATCGAACAACTGGTGCGGGTATTCGACGTCGTCGTATTCGCCAAATTCGGTCCCGTTGGTCGGTGGATATCCAGCATATCCAGACGCCGTTACCGCAACCGCAGCCGTTCCATCGGGACCTACCGCAACCCACATAGGAACGTCAGCAACAAGTAAGCGGTTATTTTGTATACGTTAACGGAAATAAAACGACCAGCAAATGCCTGTACAACTTTAAAAGTACCATCGGTTTTGGTGCAATGAATATACATTTTTAATTATTCGTTCTTCGCGGATGGGCGCAAGCACAAGCCCAACATATATCCGACATACCTAAAGATTTGACCATGTTTGAACGAATGTATTTTTTTTTTTCTGATCGCTAGTTAATGATGGTTTTTTGGTTGATTGTGTATGTATTTATAATATTGTACGTATACAGTATGCTTTTTATAGGAGAACACAAAGGTTTGATCGTTTGTGAATTCAATTGTGCGCTACAAAATTTGCTCAATGTAACGCATTTGTGTGGTCAACTCATTACGAATTAACCCTAGTTTAGTGCTCCGAAGATTTATTTTTCCAGTTTGTGACAAATAACAAACATTTTTTGACGAACCCTGTAGATAGATTCTCCCGACATTTAGACGACTACAGTACGTAGTGATTTTACTATATATCATATAACATGATCTTGACGATATACTACACACAGCCCACAGCGTTTACACTATCTAGAAATTACAATATCCAACGAATACCGAGAAACAAGTAAGTACTAAGGTACCCTTCAACTTCATTCGTAAACGGCGGCGGAGTCAAAGCTAGCATCTTTCGGAGAATTAGTAAGGTAACGTTATTAGGTACATTGTGTAAATTGAGCAAGTTTAGTAGCAACGTAACGATTAATTTTGCAACCTAGTAAGTATAGCTTGTCATTTCTCACAGTCAACCGCTCTATTCCTAGCTAATGAAAACACAGAGTAGATGAAAGCAGAAGGGTCCCTTCAATATAAACAAAAAAGTGACCGCCATTTTGTGACAGATTAATTAATTTATTTTTAGTATTTTGTTATACCTGTACACAACAAATAATAGTAATGTATACATATACCATTATAGTGCTGAACCCTTAAAAAGATGGCCGCCGCGTTTTTGTGTCTTTCCCGTGTTCATTTTTATCTTACCTTTACAACTTTACATGCGCCGTCTTTAATTTGTACTATTTAATGTGCTTTAGCATTTGGGTTTCTATGTAATTTTTATACCAGAGTAAATAATTAATGAACACCAACAGAGCTAATACCCACTAAAAACCGGGTTATCTTGTACTCGATTAACTTAATACGAATTAATTCGTGTATAAAGGAATATGGATCAATTCATAGTTAACAGAGTATTGCACAAGTCACAAATTCAGTTTTGCCAGCGCATGTTAATACCTATAGTGCTGAGACGTCGGAAGAAGCTACGTAGTTCAAACAAAAATTATTTGTATGTCCCTTTAATTACTTCACTTGCAATTAAAAATGTATATTATAAAGCTGCAGCCCTCTCAGCCCCTTTCCTAAAACGCCACTGGAAATTGTTAATCTAGAAAACTGTGGTTCAGAGAATGGACTGCATGATGACAAAAATGTGGCTTATTCTATTTTTCACTTAAAAAGTTAAAAAGGCTCTATGCCGACATAACTTGAAAATAAACGGGATGCACCTAATATGACCAGGAAACAAGAGTCAACATCCGCAATAAAAAAACACAAGTAAACTACAACGTCACTAAGTATCTCAGTGTGGTTAATTCTCGAATTAGTGTTATTCGCATTCGTATAACCGAGAAGACTAAGTAGGTGCTAGCTTCTAATAGCGTACGACAGACTTATTTCTTACCTCAGGTGGTCGACCGAGTTAATTGTGTATATAAAAAAATGTACATAATTATTTTGTGTGCTCTCATTAACGGTTGAGTCGAGGGATGTAGATTTTATGAGATTTATTCAAAATGCATAAAATCCAATTGTTTAACCTTGAAATATGCAGTGTACGTAGATCCGTATCTGTGTAATTGGTTGTTTGTATGACATAGTCATGTTTATGAATGTGTGTACTACCTATATAAAATCTAATATATGTTACGAAACCGTACATATTAGGCAAATCCACTTGCTACAGTCGTCCCAGAGCTAGACGGTATATATATATTTATATTCAACAGAAATATCATATTATATTTTACACGTAGTAGAGTAAATCATAGGTATGGGCCATTGCGATAATCGGTTGTTTCCGGGACACAGAAATTGAAATCAGATGTATACAGTGCGTAATCACCGGGAACACAATCAGCGGTAAATGGATGTACAGCCCTAATGATAATGCTCGTGTGCATACAGTGTGTGTACACAAAACGCCCCTCCGGGAGAGCGTCTTGTCGTCTACAACAACGGACGAACAACCCTTACATACTTGGATTCATTGAAGTATTATTATCTACACGGGGGACGGATTTACCATTTGCTTCGTTGTTTTATAGAAGAAGCGTATATGATATATATATATAAACCCGTACAATATCATTATTACAAGCGTATAATATAATAAAACATATCGTGGTTTCGTGAATGGGTTATTGGAGAGAACCTTAACGAGAATTGTTATTCTATATAGCACCATAGAAAAATAATATAATATGACGTGTACAAGCCGTCTGATACGGTGGTATAATGTAACAACATTTGGATTAATATTCTTAGTTTGTTATGGAAGGTAATCCTTCAATAACCGCGATGGGGTATATCATCTCTCCGCCATTGATGTTATTATTGTTTAATAAAAAAAAAAAACCTATTATTATTTATTATAAATATTATAGCTGGTATAAGTGCACACATAAAACAGAACCTACTACTGGCATTTGCGGCCTCAATGATTAAAGTACGATATTGTATTTCGTTCGAACAGTCTTTATAGACTATATACTTAGAATGTATCCACTGATTTATGTTGAATGTAACAGTAATCCAAACTGTTATACATGTCGTTGATGTATTTTTTGAAACAACTTTATTTACTATACACTTTCAAATAGTACAAAGTAAATGTTTTTTCTCTATCTAGCGCACGTAATGTATACCACAAACAGTAAACACTCTTTAAGAGAGTTATTTGATGAGCTTACGGTAAATGTTACAGCAATATGTTACACTCAAATTAAAATATTTCGACTGGAAAAATGATAGTTGCAATGACAGAAATTTTAAATTTTAGTGTGACATTTTTTTTAGAAAATTATCATTAAAAAAATCGCGCATGTAACTTAATAGCAATAGCAAGTAATGTTACAAAGTGTTGTAAAGTGTATCATTAACTCACAATAGTAACGCTCCCGAAGTATATTAACCTTTCTACTTTTCACGCACTTAAATAATTGAGACAAAACATTTACTATAAGGCCTTTTAAACGGTAATTTATTTTCTAACAATAAACTAATTTCATTGAAGTGATCAAATCAAACCTTTATCTCTACTCCTTTACGCTTCTTTAACGATAACATTTAAAAAAGTGAGAATGATGTCTTTAAGTTTACACCACAAAACCATAGTAAACAATTATTGATAAATTACACAAATGCTACAGTAATGAGTTTTTTCTTTGGGGCTTGGGCATCAATCATCATTATTAATTATTTCCAATACTAATTCTTGATCTTGCGTTAAGTCGATGCTCATTAAAACATATATCGTATAATAAAACCATTGACTACAGTCTACAAGGTCTATTAATAACACCAGCCAAATGTATTTTTCTGTTTTCAGTGTACGGTCCGGAAACACAACAAAGCCAAGTGCCGAACGAATATTGTCCGACACATCCTCATCAGCACCAAGACCTCAAGGTAATCGGCGGAAATCATCAGGACGCGGACGGCGGTTACTATACGTCGTGGCCAGCTCCGTCCGAACACCATCACCCGTCGTATCACCATCATCACTATCCACCGTACCAGTACAACGCAGCGGTGTCGTCAGAACCGGCACCGGTACCGCCACCGCCACCGACCATGGTACTGTATCCACACCTGTACTCGACCGTTAACCAAAATCAAATACACCTGCACCTGCACGCTCCGTCCGAACAGAAAGACCCGTTGACCGTCGGCGCGGGCGCAGAACAGTACGCCGACGACGTCACTGTGCTGGGTAATGCGCCGCAGCTGACGATAAGCACCAACAGACCACCGGGCATCGAGATCGGGCTGCTCCAGCCGCCCGCAGTACCGCTCGACGAACAGGGTGACGTCATATCCATTGGCAGGTACGACAGGCAACAGACTGATCTTACGGTGTGGAGACCCTATTGATCGAACCCACGTCGTTTTCAATATTTTGGAGTACACGTTTCTGTCTTATCTTTACCTCTCCTCAAATGCACACAGGATACAAACAATAGGACGGTGTATGTATTCTCAAAAAATCTACGTATGTAACGTAGTACGTAATTTAGTAGATACATCAATCAAAATTACAAACGATCTAAATTAACTGTACTCCGTTCAGTGGGTAAAAAATATATTCCTCGAATCTCAGTGATCTAAAAATAAAAACAAATAGTAAAAACGGCTGTATGACGTCAAAAATCACATATTTTTAAAAAATTTTATTGTACAGATGTACAGTTAAAGTTATTTGGTCTCATATGTCCGGGTACACGGTATACCGGAGCATTTTCGTGGTATTTTGATTTCCATTTACTATTATACTCGAGTAGTTTAATATTTATCATTTGTACATAAAGACTTGTACGCGTAACGAGAACTTATCGAATCAAAATTAAATATTAGTGTTATCTTTAAACGTACCGACGTTGTTGAACATTATTTTCTATTATTAACAAAATTGTGATATGTTTTTTGTAAGTCGACATTTTGAACGGTGTATACATTTTTTTGTAAATAAATAAAATGTTTATGTAATTTGATATTTTATGTAAACTTGGACCTTTTATCTTTTTTCCCCCATTTCTCGCTCAACGCTCAACGTTAATAGAAACGATAAATGTAATAATGTTTTGGTTAAGTATTATTTTGTCATAATAACTAGTGAAAGAAATGATCAAAAATGTAAGTTCATACTTGTCCAAACTTACTCCGTCTTAGCTTTTCGTTAAACCCAGACATTAATAATGATTCCCCAGTCTAAGGATTGAAAATATTTATAACTAGGCGACTTACCCTCACAAATCAGTCGTAACAAAAAATAAAAATAATAATAATGTTATATTATGCTTTAGTCGTAAACAATATGTGTCGTATACCATGGTATAAGAAGTGGACAGTGGACACATTTAGTAGGTATTTTCTTATTAACTGACAATAACCGCGGGTTTTATATTTTTTAATAAAAAATAAAAACCGTCGAGTTTTGTAACTGTCCACTCGGGTACAATGTAAAAGAGCGTTGCAATAAAATATTACATCCAATCATTCAAACCCATCGTAAAGCTTGTGAAACTCGCTTTATTAACTATTATTTATTTTTTATGATTTTCACTGAGGCTTGCCCGGAGTTAATCTTTTCCGTATGCCGCCGACACATGTTCAACGTGTATCCTGCGTAAAGTAATGTGCACACAAACAACATAGGTATAGTACCTAGTAACTACTACCTATGGTGGTTGTATTTTAATAATATGCGTTTGGTCTTTGTGACGTTTGGCTAAGTAAACTGGGGTAGACAACGGTTTATAAGAACTTATTAATTATTTTAATGAGTCGAATTAAAACAAACTAGAAATAGACAACATCATGATCAATTATCAATATTCATTGACAAAATCCAAATGTTTAAAAGTAAAGTCATGAAGTGGATGAGTAGGTACATAATACATATGTGAGTATGACATTTTACATGTTGTTAAAAATCTGTAATTTATATACATAGACGAGTTATATTAACTTGTTTTGCACTTTAAATAAATGCACCCGTTTAAAGAGTGACATCGAAGCGGCAATATTTTGATAACTATATAGAGTTACTACACTATATAGTTACTACTCTAGTACCTATATAGAAACACTGAAAATATCTTCGGTGTAATTCTACAGGCATTTAATTTTGTTCATGAAAAATAATTACAATTTTAGAACAAATATTACAAAAATAAAAACAATAAACTATACTAATACATTATAAAATTAGTTGCACAGACAGACATACCTTTATTTATATCGACTATATGCTATTGCAAAGCCAATGCAGAATTTGAACATGACTTCGAATATTTTATTAAGAATTACAAAACGCCATTTTATCTTCTGTTCTTTTGTAATCGGTTCTCTTTGATTCGTTCTTACACTTTGCGCATAAACAACAACCAGACGTTAAGCTTTAAAATACCTTAAGATTCTCGGCCTGGTTCTCCGTTCTGCTCGTACTTGTTATCTTAAAAACAAGGCGTAATACGTTTTCAAGTAATTGAGAGTTTACAAAACGAAGAAGGGGTCGATCATCAATATTACTACGGCAAGGTTTCGACAGAAGAATGGACTATAACATTTTACTTTTTGCCACTGTTCGACTCAATATTTGCATTGGCCATAAGTTGTAAGATATTCGTACACGCACACACACACACACACCGATACCGGTCCGACAGATACACACTATAGGCCCTCCTAAACAAGTAGTAGGTACTACACAGCCGCTTACAGGATACACTGGGTGGGACTGTCGGTCCGCATTATCTTCATGGTCGGTTTTCTGCCGACATCCGATACGCGACCAACGTGCACCTACCTTGTACATCATCACCGGTTAAAATATATTATGACTTATGAGAGTATCGGATGTACCTGAATCGTCGATCGCTCGACGAGGACCCGTATCAAAGTTTTGACCCCAGTCGTCGTGGGTTATACTGATACCTAGGTGCATAGTGTTAATATTTTACACACCTGTTGGCTGTTACCTAGACATATACGATAATGTTATGTGTGTGTGCGGCCTAATGCTCCAATGTGTTTTAATTACGATTTGTTAGTATTTCAAGAAAAAAAAACGGTAGGGATTCCATGAATCTAATCGCCCAGACGGCAAAGTATAAAGTAGACAATGGTATTCAATATGTATGTATGAATTATACACAACGTACGCATTTGAATGATGGTACATTTTGAACTTAAACAGGACAATCAATAATCCCTCCTTTTATTTTTAGTCCGCACGTGCCATGTAGCGGGTAATGAACATGACTGGAAACTACAACAACAATCGTCAAAAGGAACAAATCCTTTATAGCGGATCAGATAAGAACTTTTAATTACCACTTCTTCGGTTTTCTTTTTGTACATTAATGTTGCAGGTACTTTGAATCGGTGTTACAAAATGTTGTAATGACCTCTTATACATATAAGTTTATTAAAAACTTTTGTACAAGACGTTTAAGTCAGAGTTTAATCTGCCCAAGTCTAATACTCTATTTTTTTATTTACAAAATAATTGGCAAGAAGATCGGTGTATAAAAAAAAATAACTCATTTCTTTTCGCTATCGTTATTCCCTTTATCTTAAAGAGTTTTAAATAAATCATTAAAGGGAAACGAAAAAGCCAATTCTATAAAAACAAAAGACTAAAACGTGAAGTCACTGTCAAAGGTGCCTACAGAATCGATTTAAATTAATTTTTTTGTTATAATGTTTATCATCTTCTCTATGGTGCAGCGGCTGAAAGGTCGATTTCTTTGTAGTTGTATAAACATGTTTATTATAATTTATAAGCATTTATATTTATACTTTTTTATAGATCATCTAATGACCAATTTTCTAATATCTAAATTCTAAATTAAAATTCGGATTTTAGCCCCCGGAGAGAAAGTAGTAACTCAACTCCACATACAAAAATTGAAATCTGTCCACTAGACACGCCAAAAAGTGACTTCTACTAAAGTCATTAGTCAATCTTATCAAACTTTCGCGAAAAATAATGTAACTATATATATATATTACACTGTTACATTATTTTAAACTAATATGTATATATAATAGAACAACTATTTATTTACCTTAAAATTAGTTGGTATTATGTTTTAAATGGCTGTAAGATAAATTTTTGTCAAATATTGGCTTCCCGTCCCTCTTAAATCTTAATTCATTTAGGTATATTATAATACCTCTTAAAAACATCATTGTCATTTGTCCATCTTAATTCGTCTGATCTAGATAAATAATAGTAGTAAGTAGTAATTCGTAAGTCAATTTAATTAAATAAGAAACCAGTACAGTGAGGTCGAGTAGGTCACATTTCTATAGGAATTTTTATAACGCTTCAATGTGAATCGTCTGCCTTATTTAATAATTCCTTTGCCTTTGTTACCAATAGGCAACCAAATAAACAACATATTGAAAAATTTCTTTGAATACCGGTTGATTCACTCTCACACAGTAACTTAAAAATTTACTTTAGTCGTAGTGTAATTTTCCACTTTTTTTGCTTCGATAGAAATCCGGGTAGGTTTATTTAATGATGTTTTTATTTATTTACTTTTTTTTTTAGTCAGGAGATCTATGATTTCATCTAAGCCGCTGAACCGATTTCTTTATGTAGCAAGTCTATAGATCAGAAATCGTACCTAAATAAACGATGTTATAACTTTGTTGTGACTTGTGTGCGCTCGATGAATATATTTCTTTCAAGTGTTATTTTGACATAACTCACCTGTTATAATTTGTTCTGAAATATTGCCTATATAAAACGCCTTAAAAACCATTCGTTTTCAATCCGATTCGAAAGAGCTATTTATTAAGGAGCAAAGGATAGGCAGTATTTAACAAAAATTGGTCTAGTAGCGATTACAAGTATGCCAACCAACTTTAGGGTAAAAAATATTTATTTTTTTTAGTTGTAAGACTTTTGAAGTTATTTTTATTTGAGTTATGGCGAATTTTGGATAAAAAAAATGTCAATTTTCATTCCACCGTAGCGATCAATCCGATGATGCAATTTTGATAATGAAAACTGTTTTTAATATCTTTATGTGTTTATTTTGGATCCTACGAACAACTTTTTCCATATCTAAAGAAGCGTAATAATCTATGTTGAATATTTGTAAATTTATTTTATTTATACGTCAAATGTAAGTCCAAATTTCTTAAAAGTTGTTTGTAGGAAATAAAAGAGACAAGATTAGGAATCCAAACAGGTTTTAAAAATTCTTATCACTTAATTAGATCAATCAGTATGTTGGAATTAAAATTGGTCTTTTTAGCATTAAAAAACTTTCAGTTTCGAAGCATTACAACTACACCGACTAATTCGAAATACAGAAAAACATTCCCCCCTTCTGGAGAAAGGACTTTTGATATTTTCTTGTGTTGTCTATGTATATCAATAATACTATGTCTAAATAATATTCCATACAAATTTGGAACAAATTGGACTATTCTTGAAAAAGATATAGCCCGCCATAATTTTAATTTGAAAGATATTAGCTAAGTTAAAGTTCGCTAGGTATTTCTAGGTATAACTTTTGAAAGTTAGAGGTGAAGTTTTTTCATTTTTGGCTCAATAAATCTCAGGTACGATTTCTGATCTATAGACTTGCTTCACGAAGCAACCGGTTCTGGGGCTCACCCAAATATATCCTGGGTCAAAACACATAATTGTAAAAACTTCAAATTTAGAAGTATATGTTCAATGAATAATGACTATATTATTATAGAATTGTTTTTGTTAATTTTAATATTTTGGTAATTCCTGTCAATTGGTGCAATTCAAATTCTCAATACCGATCGAGTGACTTATCTAAGGATAGGTACAATCAACGATTCCGATTCTTGATCGATTCACGTTCCTTAGATTATTACACTTATTGTTTGGAATTTATATTTTTCGATCACATACAATATACATAATTCAATTAACCGCGATGCAGTATATTGTTATTAGTTAATTATTTATTACACATTTATCTCGATGATTCAATAACGATTACTCGGGCATTGGCCGTTGTTACTAAAATTTTAACACAATCTTTGTTTTTGTTAACATGTAACTTGTTAGAGTGTATTAGAGCTGACACACAAGTCGGCGATTGTCGGTCATCATGTCAACGACCAAGTTGCCGGCACAAGTCAAACGCCTGAATATTGTAGTTCCGCAACCAAACTTGTACTCGTACCTTCAAGCACACAAACACGCATTCGCTCTCCAACTGTCTGGAGGCCGGACATTGCAAAGACTACAGTGGCCGATGTCGGCGGGCGGGAAAGAGGGGAGAGCTGTCGGATTAAGGACGTTTGCTGGTTAGTGGAAGAAAAATAATAGGAAAACCCGGCGGTTTTAATTATTCGCCACAACACTGCTATTACGGCACAACACTAAACGGCACGCGCGGTTTTTTGCCGGCAACAGTTGGACGTCGGTGATCAGTCGGTGCACGGCCATGCGTGTGCTATCTACAGGCGACCGTGGTTAAGTAGTAGTCAGTCTCGAGATTTTTCTTTTACTCCGAATGTCCAGCGAAAATTATCGTCAGTCATGACAGATAAACCTCGGGTGGTGTCGGCTTGCATGAAACGAATCATCCGGGCCAGCGGAAAGACACAGAAACCTTTGATATCAGGTAAATGAGATTTCAAACAATTACTGTTCAGCACTCGACTATTTGTATGCGCAGGGCTTCATTTTAAAGTGCACTCCACATTTTAATTTATACGCCAAAAATGATAAAAATTCATCTTAAAGGGTCAGTTCTCCCTTACGGCTCGGTTAGGTCCAAACTAAGCACAGTTTATACGTTATAAGTTACCATGCTAAAAAATTCCAAAATTTTTTTTAAATTTGTTTAAAGTAAATCTCCAATAAAAACCTAACAGTGAAAAAGGGCCAAGTTCCAGACCCCTTCTGAAAAAAGTCAGCCTATCGAAGAAGTGATATCTACGTTGTGGCCAAGTCTGTTATATTTTCTTTGGTTCATAACCTCACTTCACTCCTACTTTCATGAGCAACACTGCTCTTTTATTTGTATTGCTTTACACTTAGCCAGTTACTGAATGAAACATGTCCTTATTGAATAAGGCATAAATCAGACTTGGCCGCACTGTAGTTTTATCACTACTTTGATAGGCTGACTTTTTTGGGAGGGGATCTGAACCTTTTCTCTTTTCTTCTGAGTTATCTCCTTGTGGCCTGGCGCACATCATTTTGAGAAAATTGCAACTTGCAGATTGTTTCCTTTATTTAAACTATAAGACCTACCTTTGTGCCAAATTTCACGTTTCTACCTATACGGGTAGTGTTTTATAATTTTAATGACGAGTGAGTGAGTCGGTCAGTAACAAAAATAAAAACTTTAAAATTCTCCCCTTTTAAAAAAGTTTACTATTAAAGGGCTCAATTTGTTACAGTATTCTAAGCTACTACAGCTTAATCTATGTTTAAATTTTCAAAAGCTTATCTTAAGAGGAAACAGAGATATGTGGGTTAGCAAAACACGGCCTTGACCTCTCTTTGCACTATTTGGCCGGCGCATCGAGAAATTTCCCGGTCTTCCGATCTAGCGGTCCGTCCCTGGTTACCATTTAAGTTTCAAGAGTTACTCCCTCCTCTCTAAATCTAGCTTTTGACTTAAAAAATTACAAAAAATTTAATTATTATTGTTTGATAAAAATTAAAAATGTTTTTCATAGGAATTTTTTTTTATAATTTTAGTATATCACCAAAAATTCAGGTGGGCCATGCAATTCTGAAGACTATATTATATATATACAGATATAAATACAGGAACGTATTTAGGGGGCTCGGGGGGGGGGGGGGGTTATTAAGACCCTGTAAAATTGTCTGTCTTGAAACATCTATGGTGGCAACATCTTGGGGCGATTTACTCGAACGATTCAAGACGACTACGAGTGGTAAAAAACTTCGGTCAGTTAAAATCTATTTGGAAAAGGTTGTTGGTTTATACGAATCATTAATGCAATATTTATTAGATTTAAGAAGTATGTTCGATGTCTATGAAAAGAAAGAAATTAAAAAATCACAACTCTAAATCATAAAAAAAACCCATAAAACAAAAGAAAATTAATGGTAGATGAAAAAAGAGAGGAAGATACACATGAAATCTTAGGCAGTTAGGCTCGTTTAGGATTAATAGGTACTATACTATAATTTGAATTTTTTTAAAGTACCTATTAAAACGTTCTAATCTACTACATGTTAATTTACTATATTCATTATATTTAAAGTTAAATATATACCTTTTTAATAAAAATATAACCTTTTTTTTTAAAAAACTACTTCACTTTATATATAACATGTGTATAATATAATATCATAAATGTACATATATTTATTAAGAGATTAGGTTGAACTTGGATCTATAATATTATATAGAGACAAAAACTCGGGGTTTTTCGGGTAGGTAAAAGAATTTCTACCTTTGATTTAAAAATGCTTGAAACTACGGTGCTACAACATCAGCATCAGTGGTTCAGTGGTAGAATGCTCGCCTGCCACGCGGGCGGCCCGGGTTCGATTCCCGGCTGATGCATACCATTTTTTTTTTATTGGTTTTGAAATCCGTAAAAATGTATTAGGGAGATGTTTAACTTATAATTTTTTAATTTTAAAGCTTACTCAACAAAACGTTTTTTTTTTTATTTTTAAAAATTATGACATTTTTTTGGATATATCAACAAAAAAAAAAAATTCATAAATAAATGAAATGTGTTCCACACCACATTCAGTTACATAAAAATGAAATAAAAGCACGTACTAAATAATTAAAATTTAAAACTAATCATACGAACAAAAAAATAATAATTCACCTATCCTCTATTATATTTTTTAATAGAAAAGACATGATTTAAATTGTATTTTAATAAATTTTATTAAAAACATGCATCAGCCGGGAATCGAACCCGGGCCGCCCGCGTGGCAGGCGAGCATTCTACCACTGAACCACTGATGCTCGTGCAGATTTCTGCTGAAATTCATCACATTTTGATGGCTAGTTGGACAATAACTACAAAAAATTAATGTATAATGATGATGATTATATAATGATTTATGTATGTATATGGCGTGCCGCGTGAACCGAAGAAGATACGAGTTGTATCTTACACTTGGCATAATTGTTGATATTTTAAAAAGTTATAAGTTAATATAACTCTAATAAAAAATATCAATAATATGAATTAAAAAATGCAAATTATGTTTGAAAAATGAAAATCATACTTGTAAAAAATAATATTTTCATTTTTCAGTCGTTGTGACCAGATTTAGATTAGCTATTTGTAACAATTTCATTCAGGTCTTATGGAATTAAAAATACCTGGTATTTTAAGTTTTTAATGCATTCAGGTTAAACAATATCAATAATTATAATGTATTGACGTTATTTCAATTTAATAATAACAGGTAACCAATACCCCTCACGTTTATTTTAGCTACGTTCGAGTGACGACCTTTTTTTTTGGTACTTTCCGTGCGCACTTATTGTAGTTATTATTAATTTGTAAGTACATACAAATTTCCTAACAATTTTTACTAATACGAAGTGTGTGAAGAAAAACTTGTAATTTTTAGCTAAAATAATTATTAATATACTAATAATACAACTTTTTTTTAATAATATTAAAAGAATTGTACATTTTTAATAGGTATTAAGTTCTCATATAAATAATTATAGAATTATAGGAGTCACTTTATTTTTTAAGTTCTAAGTCGAAAGGGGCTGAAAATGACGTGACCCCTCTACTAAGGTGGGATTTTGTACAGGTTACGAAAATATACTTTATAAGTTTTAAAATGTATTATCTTCGGAAAATCAAAAATGGAGGGGCTATGTTTATACCACACTGATGTCCACACTTCACCCATATACTAGTACGGTTCGGTACCGGAACAGTGAACACCCTGTATAATGAGTTGTATTACATACTGCATAACTGTGTATATAAGTCATACACGACCGTTAACTTAATAATCAATGTATAATGGTATTACAACAAATAAGGTTAATTAAAATTTAATGTGTTTTCACTTTTCTAAATCGCAATCGATTCTTTAAAAATGTTATTTCTAACCATTTGCAACAGATAGGTTACTTCACGTATATTATTATTTTAAAATGTCTCCGGATGCCTTTTAACGGATAAACGTAAACTTTTGAATCCGACAAGCAACAACAGATATCAAAGATGTACGCAACACTCTATTTCACACACTGTACACGGTATCTCGTTCTCGGATCACTTTAAAATAATTTATAGACACACCACAACGCCTACACACACAAACTGCACTATATGTAGTTTGATAATTGCCGTTAGCGTCTGATGTGTAGGTCACCACATATTGTTAAGGCCCGTGACGGCATTAGAACAATTAATATAAATAGAACCGTATGGTACTACCGGCGCACCACACTACATTAGATCCTACAATGACAAGCGTGGCCGGGTAAAGTATAGGTATGATCATCAATTAAGTACGCGAACCAAGTACAATGATATAGCTGTTACAAACCCTTTACGTTGATCGCATATTATTATTAATGTGTACAAAAAAAAAAAAATTGATTCACATTCTACATGTCATATGTACGTTGTACACCTATATTATAACATATCATGTATTATACTGTAAAAACCTTCTATATATATATATATATATTCATAAAGACTCTCGAGACCAAGGATAATTATTGCAGTCGACATGGTACGTTCACAGGTAGGTCGGTATACTTAGTTTATATGTTGTTTCTGTAAAGATCGGTTCACGCGACGAGCGACTGTAATGTATTCTTTTTTGTGAATAGGTCTCGCCTAAGGACTTAAACGAACGACACAACAGCTGCTGGCGGTTTGTTTGGAAATAAATGTGCTGGGGTACTTAGGCCCGCGTTCATGACAATTGCCCGTGTACAGCCAGCATGAAATTGCGTGTCGTCAAAACGCAAGGCCAGCTATAACCTTTGGTAACGCCTCGTGCGATATACTGCCCGAAGGACCCGACCGACAAACTATAAATTTCACAAAAATAAAACAGAACGAATAATAATAATAATAATAATAATAGTAACAACACATTTTATAGACTTTTTATACTTGAAGCTTTCGCAGATCGTTAAACTTGTAGTATTTTGAATTTGCGTTGGTGTTGGGTTTATAACTGTTCAGGATTTCCTTGACCGCGCACACACATCACACAAGCACCACGCGGTCTCCTAGAAAAAAAATAAGTGAAAAAAAACTGATTCGACTTGAGGGTCGTAGGTAAGTATTATTCTATTTATCAGTTTGATCTACCGAATGTCATTAATAATTGATTTCCGAGCTAATCATTGTAATATGTACCTAATTTGCACGAGGTCGTTGAAACAGCGACTGCAGCGCGGATGCAAGAATTGAGTAATACTACGGATTCGTGTATACAAGTTATGTATATACATGACTATTACAGGTGGCAGTAAACATTGATAATAATTATCATGTCGTGGAAATTGACTATCTCGTCGATGCCCGTAATTGAAATTACAGTGTTTATTTAATTAGACATAGGTTTCACAAATTACAGCGTACAACGAAAATCCGAGAAAAGTTTTCAACGTGACACTTATGGAAACTATATTATTATTTGAACGACTTTTAAGTTGTATATAAACTATAGTGCATTAACTTCTAGGCATAATATATATATAATGTGCCAACGCGTTTGTAACTGATTCTTTATGTTGAAAACGTAATATGTAACTACTTGGAAAGTCAGCAGCTTCGCTTCAACATACATTTTATGTATTTATAATAAGTTTGAAAATTATTAGATTATTTTTCTAACCTAACCTTTATAAAACCACTTGGGCTGTACAGCCCAAATTTTGAGATCTCTCTTGATAATACTTTAAAAAAAAATCTACTATAGAGTATAGTTTGGCAACACATTATTGTACAAATATTTCTGAATTTCGTGGTAATGACTGTTTATTTTACTAGTCTATAAATTGTCTTAAAAATAATTTGTATCCTTGTTATTCCCACCACTTCAATTATTGGCTTCCGAAGGATACAACGTCGGACGTGCAAAAACATTATATCTAACTCTAAAATTGTTGTATTACAATGCTATACAGTATACGACCTGATTTTTTTCCAAACACTTCCTCTTGAGTTATCAATAGATTTCCGATATAAAGTTGTTTTTAAAACAGTCAACTAAACGACATTTTTCAAGCAAGTTTTTGTTTCAACCTTAAATGGCACATGTGTAATTTTATCAAAGGCAATATGTTTGTACAGGTACTAAGTGGCCTTTAGGCAATCCATTTGCGTTAAAAAGAAATAAGACATACTTTAAAGTACATTTCACCAGCCTTCCCTACCCCCCATACCGGTAATGCTCTTTATTTTCATACTAATATTTAGTCCACAATTTGTTTGATCATATTGAACATTTGTCCTTCCACGAGAAAAAAAATAATAATCTGATTTTGAAATGTACCTCATATTTTAGTGAATTCTGACATCACCAATTAAAAAATAGTCAACAAAAATCGGCTTTCTCTTATTTACACGGTTTTATTATCATCAAATGTATAATTTCGAAGCAACGAGAATTTTAATTATCGTTCTCATTCGTGTATACTTAGATAATTGACAAGTTATGAAGTGTAATCAAGACTAAGTTGATCACCGAACTGTAACGGACCGTAGGTAGTAGGGGTACTGTGTATTTACATCACATTCGCGGATTCGCCTATAAGCACATAATATTGTGATATCTGAAAATGCACACGCTATGGACTTTTAGAGTGTTATTTGTAAATACTCAACAGTTCCCGTGTTTCAATTAGTTCAGGACACAATATTAAATATAATATGATAGCTATATCCTGTAAATCGTGCATTTGTCCTGTCGATTCTTCATGCTTGACGTACTACGTGCAGCACAGACATGCCCGAACTATTCCAATAAATAGGTATACAGTATATATTCGGTTGTAAAACCGAAAGTCAAACTTCAAATAATGTAAATATTGGTAGTAATACACACATTTCTGTACGTTTGTCAATTACAATTACTTACAAGCATAAAAGAAAAGGGAAATAAACAATATATGTTTTGACATGTTGATGACCGTGAAAAGTAAACAGATTGTAAATGTACTTCGGCGCTTATTGTACTCATAAATGGATACATCGTACTTCACTCATGTTATGAGCTATCCATATTTGGACAATCGACAATATTAGATTACTAACAGTATACTCTAAAATTATAATAACTTGGTAGTTAAAGTGCAAACGCTCAATTCCATTTATGTTACAGGAAGAATATAGAGTAAATGACTGATGATTTGCAATGTAGGTATAACATAAATAGTATGGTTCAGATCTATTTGTCCTTCGAAATTCACTTTTATTTGCACTTATTTAAAACATGGAGTTGGGTTTTCTGATTGTCAATGTTTATTTATTGTTATTTAAGTAAAATGTCATTTATATCTATTAAAATAAATGATAAATATGATTTTATGTACGGTTAGATAAGCAATTTTAAAAGTCACTGACCATTGTTACATCTTATATAGTAATTAAAACTAAGTTACCGGAACTCTCGAATTGTTGATAATCAATATTTTCTTAGTACAATACCTACATAATTTATTTTTATACATATAAAACAAAATAATACCTAAATACTGCGATATTACAAAAAAGAAGTAAAACTTGATAAGAAATATTCACTACTTCTTTAAGTTGTGGTTTTATTATCTGTATATAAATTGAAGTAACCAATATTTTATTTCTTTATTTTTGGAAGTTGTATCATTATTATGGCAATACACCTAAACTTATCTCACCATCATCCCAACTTATCACTCCTTATCCCGCACTATATTGCCTTTTCATACTTTTTTTAATTACTAAAATATACTTTCTTATTCCTAGAAAAAAAATAAATGCACATTTTCAAGCAAAACTTTTAAATATTTATTCAATCCACATTGCAGACACTTACTCCTCCAATTGGCAAATGATATGCATGGTCAATGTGTTTGTTCTATAAGCAACTTAACAGTTATGAAGATTCAAATTTAAAGTTTAGGATTATTTTTAGATATACCAAAAAGATACAAGTATTAAAGCTATGGCCTATGTTAATTATATAATAAATAATAATTAAAAACCTTAAACTTTAATTTGTTATGTAACCGGTGATATTGTGATAAAAATTGTACCGTTTTAGATTAATTCCAAGGCGCGGCCTTAGAACCGTCTAAATCGAACGATATTTAATTCAAATGTAATTAGATTCGATTATGGTGCTCAGTCATCGAAACCTTTTTACAAGTAACGCTCGTTAATGATATTCACGGATGTCAAATGAAAACAAACTGATATATATATTATATATTTATATATACATCCATAGTATAGCATAATTACTATCCAAGGACTTAAAGGATTTCTAAGAATTCAATGGAAAAAACCGAAGGAAAAGGAGAGTTCAAACAATTCTTGCGTTGAAGAACGCATTCTATGTTGTCCCTCCTGTCGCAAAAATATAAATACATAGTTTTAGCTTCGATGTGAATCTGAAAAGGTATTAATTTTACAATTCCTGTTATTAAAAAAACAACAATCTGTACAAACGATATATATATATATATATATATATGTTCACAAATGATACGAGTATATCAATAGATCAATGCATATCAATTTATTTCTGATCATTTTTTGTTCATTTTAGACCTGTGTTTGCTTGGTACGGCAGATGAAAGTGATGATTCAAATAATAATGTAAATACCAAACAATGAATTGTATGACTTTGTTTAAAAACAATGTAGATTGTATCACTTAATAATAAATTGATTTAATTTCTCGAGTACTATATTCTAAAATCTATAATAATAGCTATAATCAATGACAATAAAGTTGATTTTGGTATAATTGATCTTTGGAAATGGTTCACAAAACATCCTTAGCCAATATCTTTCTAAATTTTCTATACTTAAGTCTCCCAACAGTAACAGTCGTTCCACAGAAAGCCTATTCGAAATTATCTCGCATAAAAAACAAATATAGAACAACTGTTAACCAGCAGAACTTAAATTGCTTAATGATATTATCAAACATTCGCGAGTAATAAAGTAAGAAAAAAGAGTTCCTAATGTAGTACGTATGTAAATTGTAATTATTTTTAATAAAGGTAATATATTGTTTTTTTTTCTTTTAAAGTGATTAGCCAAAAATTGATAAACATTTCATAAATAATAATTAAAGTTGGTTTTTATTAAAAAAAATTGGTGAATTTTTTTTTTTTTTCAAATTTATGTAGGTGCCCTCAAGAAAATACCTGAGCCCGGGTCTCAAATTTTGTTAATCCGGTTCTGTTTGCTAAATATATAATATTTAAACTTTTTTAATAGAAATATATGATATACTATACATAGAAGTAAATTAATAAATGTCAACTATTTGACATTAGTTTTAGGCTATGAAAACCTAATGAACTTAAGATGACTTTTACGACATGAAATTTAAGTTAATAAATTATAAATATTTGGCAGTTATTTTAGGTGAATTATTGCGAAAGCTGGGGACTATAGGTAGAGACTAGGGTGATCCCTAATCATTAGGACTAAGGAGTAATGATGGGGATAAGAAGTGTATTTAGGTAATATATATACTACCTAAATAGTAAATACTATATTTATATAATTTTATACATACATCTTGGACTATTATTTTATTTACTTAAATTAATACCTACTTTCATCAAATGACTAATTTATTTTTTAATTACATTTATCCCCGTTAAGTTAAAAGTATTTGGACCTGCCTCTAATGTATTTTTTTTTTTTTTAATAATTATTAATATTATTTATGTTTTAATTCAAGGATCGGTGACAGCCACGTTAGGAGACGAGTTGACGTTCGGCAGTGGTGCATTTACGGGCCGTTGTGTGGCTGAAGTTCGCGACGGACACCTGTTGATTCGATGGGACAGTCCAGCCGGATATTGTTGGAAGCTCTTATTGAAACACCTAAATCTTATGTCTTGCGAACACTCTACTTACGGATTTCGTCTCACACGGCTCGCCTCCACAACGCCAATCATATCCATAACAGTAAGTATCATAACAATGTACCTATCAACAGAAAAACATAAATTATAATTTATTACTTAAACTACTTGGTGTACCTACCTCTTTAGTTTAGCACATACATCCTTGTGGGGTCGGTCGGTCAGTCGAATCCCCTTTCTCTCTCCGTCCAGACCCTGCAAAGTCCAAATCCAATGTCAAATCCCTATATCTATTTATTTGCCCCATTTGTTTACAATTACCACACAGCTCACCCAACATAACAGCACAACCTAACCTGGTACAGAGTAGTGAGTTCTGACACAAAAATAACAAAAACGCACATTATTGTAAGTAAATTAATATATTTGCTTAGTTTCGTATTACGTATCAATAAGTTAAATAAACTTTTTTTACTGTGTATTTATGGTTCATTTTTAAAGTAATTTCGGCCGAAGTCTAATGTAACAACTTTTTAGAATGGTATTCTAATTAGTAATTATAGTACACAGCATTAAAAAGTAATTTACGTATGGTTGCTTAATGCTTATATACATGTAATTTTATCACTTGTGCATGAGCATCAGTGGTTCAGTGGTAGAATGCTCGCCTGCCACGCGGGCGGCCCGGGTTCGATTCCCGGCTGATGCATAAAATTTTGGTAGTATTTGTTTTATTTTTAATTAAACAGAACATTATTACTTATTGTTACCAAAAATAAAATTCTTTACTGTTGGGTTTTAAGTGCAACGTGTGCTTGACAATATTTTAATAAATACTTCCAACTGTATTGGTATACTGTCTAAACTAAAATTAGGAACCAGATGTTTTTGACGTAGTTGCAAATTGAATTTTCAGAATATTATACGTTTCAATTTTAAATATAATAAATAAATAATAATTAATATAATATCACTAATTAGTAATAATGTAACTATAGATAGATAATAGTATGATACCTAAAACGAGAGATAAACATTGATTATGAATGATATTGTATTTATTTTTTATAATAAATGCTATTCATAGTAATGTACTAATATTATTTGCATTACATATTTACATGTCATGTAAATAACATCTCAATAAAAATTTAAATATACTGTATACTATGTTAAGTTTGTGTAGAGTGTAGACTTTAAATAGTATACACTCTATACATGTTCTCGTTGATCCGGTATGGTCTAGTGGCTAGGATACCTGGCTTTCACCCAGGAGGCTCGGGTTCGATTCCCGGTACCGGAATAATTTTTTCGCTTTTTTAACAAAACCATTTTTTTACAGTTTTATTATACTTCTTATTTAGTAAGAAATATAATATTTAAATTAAATAAATAATTAATTAAATATAGTAAATGATAAAACATCAATCGTTTGGGTTTCCTTGCTTACATAAACTTAATTAATTAATTTTTTTTTAATATCTTACATCACCCTAATATGTAATTATTTATTATTCATTCTAATTTTTATGTTATACACATTTTAAATCCATCTGAACTTTCAACAGATCAACTTGTAGTTTACATAATTGAAACCATGCCAATGTCGAAACGTAGATAATAAAGTTATATTATGAAACATTGATTATCAACATATTATAATCACACATTCCACTTTTTAAGAGGACGCCACACCGGCCATTTCTAAGGAGTAGAGTATAGGCAATTTTTCGAAAAATCTTAATTTAGAGTTTGAACTATAATGCATACTTATTAATACAGTAATGAGGATACTTCGTCGATTGCCATTTTTTTTTTGACAGACTATTACAGTCATTTCTATAAGATAAATTGAAATTTTTCCCCTTCAAAACTGCTTTGAGCGAATTTTTTTTCTCAGGCTTCATAAATAGTTAAGAAAAGAAATTCATACATATTATTTATGACGAAATTATCTGTGTTCTATCATCCGTATTTTTTCGATATACCTAATACACCAACGCTATACCAGTATGATGCCTGAAACGAGAAAACAAAAATAGTATGATAATAAGTTGGACAAAAAATTATGGTCCTTACAAATATAATCAATTTTTGTTATTATTACTAGTAAGTAGTATTCAATGGATCACCTTGTTTTCCCAAATATCGTAACTTTTTTATATCGACATTTAAGGTGATGGACATCATTGGCTGTATTACAAAATGTAGATATATGTTTTTATTTCAATTGTAAAATTGATGAATGGAGTCTACTATAAAGTACCCAAGATTAAGTATATATTTACAAAATAATATCAAATTTACATCTTTCTTGTATTGGCACATTGTTTTTAGCTTCGATGCGTACCTAGCTGAAAAAGTATTGCTTTTACAATAATGTGTTTATGTTTTATCTAATTTTTTTGGTTTGGATCCATATCTTCTAAACTGCTGAACCGATTTCTTCGTGTAGCGAGTCAAAAATGTGTACTTCTACTATTTACAGATTCGCATCGAGGCGTTTATTTGAAAGTGATAAAACTAGGTACTTTCAATTATAATAATTCTTGTAGGTCTATGACCTTCTCCGCGCCAATATGCTCCATATCCACTATCATAGGCGGAGATTGGGGGTGCTTGAGGTGGCTTAGCACCCCCAAAATAATCAATAGCCCCCCAATTATTTGATCACTCGTTAAAGTAATAAATCCCTTAATTAATGGAGTAAAAACTAAAATTATTAATAAGAATAATTTATGAAAATTATTTCAGTTCCAAAACGGCAAAACATTATAACAATGTTTTTGATAATGTTATCATTTAATTTTAATTCAAGTGCTAAATAAAGTTGTACATTTTTCAAAAAACGCAATAAATATTGATAAAATTCAAAAGGCTCTAACCCTAAATGTATTTCCCAGCTCATTCAAATTATTTCAAGTCGCCTTGTCTTTGCCAATTAGTTTAGCTACATGCGAACGAAGCTTTTCAGCTATGCGCAAAATTAAGACATGGTTACCTGACATGGTTGCAAGACAGGTTTAACAATTCATCCATATTATACATTGAAAACTATTTAAATATTGATGTAGAAAAAAATTATTGATATATTTTGATCTAAGAATAGGTACATTGCCTTAAAATAATATGTATTTACTTAAATAACATACAAATATTATATTTTAATTTTTATGATTTTTATTTATACATTTGTAATGTTATATAGTATTATATATTAATAATTTAGAAGTGTAAATCCCTTGCTGGTCATTTTAGGTAGAAAAATGCTAGCCCCCCCCCCCAAAAAAAATTAATGAAATCTCCGCCTACGTCCACTATACTGGCATTTTTTTGTTATAAAATAATTCAATTTTATATTTATTGGTAAGTAACGGACATATTTTATTTTTTTAGGCCGATAATGAAACCGATTATCATCACTGGACGACGACAATCGCGGGTCAACTTTTAAGTCAAACTCCCCTAGAAGACGTTAAGTTCCTGGACATACTCGGCATAGTCTCGAGTGGACTACCCTGTAGAAGACACTCGGCCATAGAAACAGCTTCGCCAGTATCCCCGTTGAAGCATAAAAAAAATAGTCTAGATATGCAGGAAGTGAACAACAACAACACATTGTCGTTGTTTGGTTCACGCATGTATAAGAAAAATGTATCATGTCTACCCGATTTAATAAGAGAATGTGAAAGATCCCGCAGCCCCCACATCGATGAATTCTATGACTATGTCCCTGTAAAGCAAAAGCGAATGATGTTTGAAGGATCGTTGTTCTGTTCATCGAAAAGTGTAAATGACTTACACGATCTATCCGCTCGTCTGCCGAATAACACCAAGTCTAGATCGATGCAGAACTTGGACCTGAATACAGTGCCCGTTAAAGACATATGTAGGTACTTCGAGAATAGATTTAACGCCAACGAAAAAACTACTGCACAGTTCAGATCACTTTATTAGATGGCGCCTACACAACGCAAGATGATCTGGTGACCGACGTTGTGGCAGATAATTTTAGTCAACAAAGAAACAATGTTCCAAAGATTTTAGAAACTATTACGATAATATATTATTTAATGTATATTAATGTATACTCTTTAGTCATAACAAATAGCTTTGTTTCCAAATAAATAAAAACAAATGTTAACTAAAAACATCTTTACAAATGTTTTACTAAAAATAATAAAATATAATACAAGTTTTGCTAACACTATCTTAACAATATTATAACATACTATATAATATTACATTGAAATGTAGAATGGGAAACAAGACAGATATTAAATTTGAGTTCAATATTTCTGTTAGAAAAACAGTGGTATAAAATATATATTGGTAAAAAAAAAAAGTTAAGCCCAAATAAATTAATAACTGTTCCCCAAATTAAAGGCTTATTAAAAAAAAAAAAAAAAAATTACGAGCGTACAATTAGTTTTTTTACGAAAACTATCACTCTCATTACCTTTAAATAACCAATACAATAAAATTAACAAGTATATTAATTAGTTAAAACTAAAGTCAGTACTGCAAAAATTATAACTGAGTAGGTAATGCTAATTCTCTGAGGTAGCTTAGAGACATGTACCTTTAACAGTTAATTACAAGACAATATTAATAAAATGTATTTTGCACGAATTTGTCCATTGTGAGAACCAATGATTGTGTAGATACGACTTCTAGAGGAGTAAACGAGTTTGGCAAAAACTTTTGAACTTCATTAAATGCACGGTGCACCCTGGTAATCTGAAATTTTTTTGTACACAATAATAAAGTTAGTTTAATAAATATAATATTATTTGTAATTAGTTTAGAAAACATGAAATAATATTTTTTTTTAATACAAAAACTATATATGATATATTTACATATTGAATAAAACATTTCTTTTATTTTTAAGTCCGTAGTTACTGGAATTTAGCAAAAGGTGAACTTTTAGCTCGATAAGTAGCTTTCAGATACAGTTTCTGATATATAGACTTACTGCATGAAGAAATCGGTTCAACGGTTTAGAAGAAATTGTGTTCACACAAAAATAAATCTAATAATATAAAAACCTATTATTTAAAAAATAATACTTTTTCAGCATCAAAACTAAAAAAATAAGGTGTAAGAAACAAACAATACCTAATATTCAAATGTTTTATGGAACTCAAAATTAGAATTGTGAAAATCGGAGATTGATACAAGACTGTAAAGATTTTTTTAGAAAAAAAAAAAATTATTATCAACATCAGATAATTTAAAGAGACATAAGAGATTATCCATAGAGTACGTTTTTATACAAAAAAAACCAGGTCACACTTAACCTTATAAGGGACGTTAAACATTATATTTTATACAAATATAATATTCCATAAAGTTTTTTTAACAGTTATTATTAAAATTAATAATAGTTATTAAAAATAATTATGGCATGTGCAAGATAAAAATATATACATCATGACCGCCATAACAAAAAATTTGTATTTATATGCTAAATATACCCTACATAGTATATACTAGGATATTATGTTTTCTTAATACCATTAAAACATATTTTTTGTGTAAACGAAAACTAAAAATCGAAAGATAATATAAAGTAGTAACTAGTATCCTTTACGAGACAAAACAGAATCGTAAAAAATAAATCATTGAATGAAGGTCATGATGCAAAATCCATTTTATTAAGTGCTGATGGGCTTTAATACATGTAAAACAAATGAAGTACTAACAATTCTTGATGATGAAAATGATTTACCCAAGACTAATAAATAATGCCTTTTGATGGCGGATCTAGTGAATCGTCATAACTAGAATGTGCCAGATCAGACAATTCTTCAAAGTGTTTTTGCCGTTTGCGTACGTTCCAATGCAAGCATTCAGCAAGCGAATCAAACCAGTCGGATATTTGATCTTGAGCGCATATTGATGGTACAGGATATATTGATGTCGTTACTCGTAAACTATTAATAAAAATCATAATAGATAAATATATATATAGACTAAAAGATAATGCATATAAAATGTGAGAAAAAAATAAAAAATTAGTACACATGGTTATTAAAAGTCCTACAAGTGACCATTTTTAAAATTAGTTTATACAGTTGAAGGCAATATTAATTGTGCATTAAATATATGTTAAAATGATTGGTTCAATTTAAATCTACTGTTAATATTCCATCACCAGCTACCAAATATTATTCAACAAATTTTGGTGACCGACCTATCATCCGCACATAACTCCTGTTGGTTTCTACCATCGAATGAAACCCAAGCAGTTGAACGGGCGTCGGGGCTCAACATAATCTGTAACAAGCATTCAGTCTTACCATTTCAATTGCAACTAAACTCAATTAAAAATAGTCATAATTTATATTATTCATCACAATCTTTTTTAATCAGCAGAGGCGTCAAGTTGACACAAGAAATTGTTTAGAAAATAAGACTTCGAGTAACCATGTGTACTATTCACAACTCAGGCGTTAATTAAGTATTTAAAAATATATATATATTCTTTTTTAAATCTTCAATTACTAGAGTACAATAATTATAGTTTAATGACAATCACTTCTGTAACATTCCTATTACCTATCACCGTGGAAAATTTCTTGCCGATTACGACCATCAAATGACACCCAGGCCGTATTGCGGCTATCTGGAGATACCATTATCTATATGAATAAGAAAAAAATTACCTAACTCTGCTGATTTACAATAGCACACATTTCTTTTTTTTAATCCTATTATTGTCATGTAAAAGATAAACTGATAAAAATGTTTATTCATTCAAATTTACTTTTAATTCAACACCGGCTGGCACTACAATAGGCCTGAATGATAGTGAGTGAGGACATATGGGAGTCACCATGATAGCTGGAACACTGGGATGGATCATTGACGCTCCAGCCGCTACAGCATAGGCAGTGCTTCCAGTTGGTGTTGACACGATAAGACCTAATAATTAAGACACTATTATCAACACGTATGAGGTAACAAGTAAAATCGTTAAAAATTAGTACACTCTGTTCTTAAGAAAGACTAAGACAATTTTTTACGCAGGTTAAAAATGGGAAGGCGGTAATCTGAATTGATCACTGCTCTCTCTTATTCACTTAATCTAGAGTGCACGTAATATTTACTTTTTTAGCCATGGTAATCATCAGTAAATCCTTAATTAGTGAATATTACGTTATAAATACTCTCGAAAATGCAATATTTACATATACATATATATTTAACACTATTTAAAAAAACTCGATTCTTAGTTAAAGTATGAAAATAAAGTAATAAAATAAGTATTTATAAAAAAAAAATGTAAGACCTTAAATTTGATTTATATGATTTAAATAATAATCTACTGATGACTGTTAGAGCTACACACAGTTTCAAAAAAATTAATTAAATTTAGTTATGATATATATTGCATAATAATATATATTTTAATACTATTTATGAAGAAAATCATTGCCATTGAAGCTTTAATAAAATTAATAATAGAAAAAATTCCATTAATTTAACAACACTTTTTTACTCAACAACACAGTAATAGGATGATATTAGTTTCTGATAATAAATCATTTAAAATAAGAACGACAAAAAACATTTACCATCTCCTTGCACAGACGTTATATATTTTCCATCCAAAAACAAATCTATATTAGAAAGGTACGGCGATGGTCCTCGATCAATAACAACTTCATTTAGCACCAATAAATTTGGAGGAGGTTTCTCAGTATCCTCATTCTTCCGAACTATTATACATCTAAGTCTACTGCGAAGAGTTAAAGCTGCATGTCCTTCAAGGACGTTAGTTACTTGTTGTTGGAAATTGTCAAACTTGAATGGCGTCAAAAAACCTAGGGAACCCAAGTGGAACGCCATAACAGGAGGTACAGATTGCTAAGATGAAAATAACAAAATAAATAGTATCACCGCGACAAATTATTGGAAATAGTCAGTACATACTTGGAATAGAAGACTAGCATAAAGTAATGTACCGTCTCCACCTAAACAAATTATAAAATCTATTTTATCTGTAAGATCGTCTTTGCCATCCTGGAATGACTTTAGTTTCTCTCGGACTTCCATGAAACCCGAGTTACTGGTAAGCATAGTGTCTTCCATCACAGATTGTTCGACAAATACAATCATACTCTTTTCCTGCAATTTATTTGACGTGTTATAGTTAGAAGACAAGGTTAAGTAAATATTTTAGTTTTGTTTTACATGAATCAACCATCTAACGAGTTGTATAAATGGAGGTAAAACTGACATGTCTCTGACTTTTTTTATCACTAAAACGGTCAACGGATTCCTGTACCACGTTAATCTTTGGCTAGCCGGGTCTTGAATTGTCCTGGGAGAAGAAAAAATAATTTTTAATTACCGTTCCGGAGATGTTACTGTTTAATGATACGACTCACATGACCATTGCTGAGTTTTTCATGATGCGCCCACATGGTCCGAACTGCTGTACGGGACTAGGAGCGTTAAGTGACCGAGTCCTCCTGAAACAATATAAAACTAGCTAGTAAAAAACTTACTGTCAATTGTTTATCGAATGTAATAATATTGTAAGACTTTACGAGAGTTTTAGAAAGTGTACACAGAAATATTGTTGAACACATAATGTGTATTAGGTAGGTTGGTATGCTGTAATGAATAATCGCGAATCTTACAACTCGATGTCGTCCAATTCATCGTTTTCGTTCATGTTTTTTAATGATCGGCGGTTTCGTACATTATTGGCGATCGACTAAAGACAAGTGACAACAGCTAACGAGCCAATGGCGTACGCCAACGGATTAAGTACGTCCGTCCGGTCGATCGCCCCGGGTGATAGGAATTTTTCTGTCTATCAGTCTACACCGACCGCAGCGATAGCAGTAGGCAGTTTTTCCTATTGATAAGAATGTTATCGTCGTTGGTCGTTGAATGGGCGACCCTCGACGACAAACGATTGCTTTACCGCGTGCCGTGTGGTGGTGGCAGGTCGATGGCTATATACTATATATGTAGACGTATGCGCTGGTTAAACCAATCTAGACCTTTCCCCCCCACCACCAACATAGACACGCACACGTCAACACCTCCTAATGAGAATGCCAAATTTTTTTTCCACATTATTTATTTTTGTATTCGCACCTATGCACGCAATTCGAATTAGTTGTTATAACCTTAGTTAGTTTTATTTTTTATGTAATTTCAACATTATTTTATTTTGACAACGAGGTATGTATTATGTATACAGGACACGGAGGCTCATAGTTAAGTGACCTGTAGGCTGTAGCTATAGGTTGACCTAATTATTGATTAGGCTTGATAGTTGATAGCTACGTGTCTCGTATATTATGGACCTATGGCAATGGGAAAAAACCGAAAACTATGGTTGAAAATAACGAGGAACAGATTGGATGAGCCATTTATCTTACTATCTGACTATATCTTATTCAAAGAATTCGTAGAAAAATCAGTTAACAATTATTTATTTTTCTAAGCACCGTTCGCTCCTACTTCGTACATGGCAAACCATGCCAAAAAAATATATATTTATTTTATTTATATGTAAAAAGTGGATGGTTTAAAAATTAAACTATAACAGTTTATAAAATAAAATTAAAACACATTAAAAACTTTTTGTACACAAGTTAGATAATGACTAATAAGATAGATTACATAAAAGACTATCGACTATTGATAAAGACTATCAAAATGTTTACCTCCCGTCCCCTTAATTTCGAACCTGACTGCTATTCAGAGTTTAACAAAACAATTCGAATAACGCATTAGCTAAAGTACAAATATATTTTATTCTATTAATAGTTTCTAAACAACATAATTCGGAAAATATGTTTATTTCAATAATAGATTATAACCTAGAGACTAGAGTAATAATCTACCTTACATTATTCGCGTAATAATAATTAGTGGTTTATTCCAATAATCAATTATTGTAACTACTTGTAATATTCCTATAAATGTCCCAAACTATTTATGAACAAATTTAAACTATTTTGTCAAAAATGCTAATAAATGATAGGTATTATGCGTTAACGATATCAGTTCAAACGATAAAACGGTCATAATAATAGGAAGGTCGCGTAAGCACCATCTAAACAAAGTATTTGGGTTAAAAGGGTCGAGAATGTCAATAAAATACACTAGAGCTAACATCAAGATTAAAGATATTCCATGGTACCCATTGATGTTAAGCCATTCTATTATATACTAGTAATTAATCTATTTACACCAGTTCTAAAGGCATTTTATAAAACTAATTCAGTAAATAACAATATTTTAGATAGTATTATACATAGTAATTAATAGTTATTAATAATTCATATTATCATGTTATTTAACTAAATAAAAAAAAATGATTAATAAAACTACATGCAATGTGTATAGAATATGCAAAGATATTTGATTACTAGATTTTACTATTCTGTTAAGCTAATAAATCCAAATAAATATTTTCATATATATATGTATATATACTGTTCAGTTATATATACATACTTGTTTTTACTCCTAAAACAAAAGCCGATTGTCGTTAATTTTTTAAAATAAATAGTTTATTCAAATGTGTTATGCACTTCCTCCTGTATAGCGGTGCATCATTAGATTGGTAATAACTGATAAATAATAACATTTAATCGACCGATATTATAGGTATTTTATAAATTAATTAATAATTTTATCCTTATGGATGTAGATAATAAAAGTCAAAGGTCATGTTTTGGATAATAATTCATATACATATCATATAGATCATGTATGATGTACATATAATAACAAAACAAAAATCATGATTAATATGTTTAATAATGTGTGTGTTATGAGCCAATTTCTTGAAACCCGTGCATATTTTTTTGCTCTTTGTATGAGTAGGTATGTACTATAGTAATTATTTTTATCATAATTATAATATAATACGCATTTGATAATTTATTATAGCTATAATCGTATGCCTAATCCTAAATTTTAAATTTAATTTTAAAATCTGTTTGGTTATGTGATGTAAAAACATATTTCAATTAAATTATACTTTATTTGCCTAATGATAAAGATGCGTTTGCCAAAGTTCCATCAAACTTAAATTGTTGCCAATAATTGAGCCGTCGAGAGCAAAAGTGGAGTAAGTCACGTTTATACAATTTAAAGTAACATAACCAGGCGATAATTATACCTTCCATCTATTGCCTGCGAAAGTGATGATGAGTCCAACTTTGCTTGTTTTTCGTTAGATATCAGGAGAACTTTTACGTTCTAGTAAAAAAGTATACTTGCCCCATGTTTGCTCTCGACGGCTCAATTAACCAATTACAATACATAAAGAGTTTTTCCATTATTTTATTTGAGACGTTATTCCCCCTACTAGTGATTATGAAATCGGATGAAATCATGTTATTGAATTTATTATTGTTAGGTTCTATATGCAATGTAACATTAAGCAATTCAACAGAATGTATGAATGTGTGGTTAAAATTTGACGGAAATTATTAATAAACTAATAATCTATGGAGGAATTTTTGATTTTATAACAAAATGGAATTTAATATTTTACAATTATTAATCTTATTTCAATTGTGTTAGTATTTGATGCGCGGATTAGCGTAGTGTGGTTACAAAGTACACGCATATTTCAAGAGAGAGAAAATAGAAATCCATCAGCTAACAAATGACATGATAGTTTTTTTTAATTAATGGCACGATATTAACAATGTCAATCGTAAAAAAATGTATAAACGCTTGCTTTCGCGGCCGTCTTCGGTCATGACCATGCCAGTTGCCCTCCCTCCTTGTCCAAGATTTATAATCATAGGTGGGACACTATCTGTTACACGTCATAATATTCAAATGATCACGCAATATGTGATCCAAGGTCGGTAACTCGACGGCTGCTGCAACCGCACAATGTCAAGGTAGCAAGACATTTTCCTTAGTTTTTAAAAAGTCTGTAGATCGAATTTTACATAATATTATTTTTTAATTTGGAAGTAAAAAAAAAAAACGCAATTGCCAGATGTAGTGGTGTAGACCTCATTAAAAATTACCTCGGTGGGTACTTTTAGTGGTATACTTCCCCTGACAGTAGCACAACCAGCTTCGTTAGTACCTGTATGTAGGTACCAAAATAATAATATATATTGATGAATTTTTATGCACACAAACGGCAGTCATACAAGTTGTTCTATCAGTAGTAAACGTAATCTATGACGCAATATACCTTGGCCTGGCACGAGGTAACAATAATAGTGGACAATTTTTCATTTTAAAATTACTGAATTCATGTAAATCCAAACAATAATAATGATATGTATATAATATAAAACAGGTATGTTAAAATGATCAATTTAAAAATGCTTGCCCTTAAATTTTTTTTTAAAACTTAAAATGACCAATTATTTCGCTTTGGCTAATATCTTATCATTAGCAGGCAGTGCATTTTCAGCAGCTTAATTTAATATTTGATAACAGACAGACGTGCGATTACCAAACGCGAACCACAAGACTGAGGATCACACGCGCAATTAAATGAATCTCTATTTTTACGCTTCCACAGTACGGATGTTCTAAGTATTGGCATATCAAGTGTATAAATAAAGCGATCTAAACAGCTGGTTTGTTTGGGACACATGGCGTTCTCGAATCAGATGTACTTGTATTGCGTGTGCATGTAGGTGGTAATGGTATACGCTGAGTAGCTACTATATTACAATTCACGTACGTTATAGGCACGACGGGTTTTAACGACCTCGCGTGTCACCCAAGCGAATCCTCATGAATGACGCAATCGGGTTATTATAATGCTTGTACACACGAGCTATTGACTCCAGAGTCCAGACGATCGAGATTAGTCCAGTGTGGTTTTGTGCACGTATTCTATACACTGAGGTGCTAGGTATGGGGTACAGGATTATTGAAACAATGTGATTCATTCGATTTCAACTGAATAGGATAACCTAAACAAATGGTGTATGTCTTGTGATCAGGGTAAAAAATAAACCGAAAAACCATTTGAGGCTAATGGCATTAGTCATTTATACTGGTTTTTGCTTATTGTCGAGCTGGAATGTCGAATCATTAGCATTTTAGGCCGGTCCGAATTATAGTTTGAAAATTAAAAAAAGGTAATGTTGCGGGTGATGAGTTGACAATGCTTTGCGCGTTCAAGTCTTTTCGTTTTGAATAGTAAATAGATTCGCGTAATATTCCGTTGTCGAGAAATTAATAACTGATCACTTCATAACATTAATTTACGAAACACTTTTCTTGCAAACTCAGTACTTATTCACACAAACGATGATTGCGAGTATTTCCGAAATGAAATACCAGCGAGTCACTTTCATAGGTACTCTCGAGATCTCATCGTATAAAATGACATGGTGAATTTAGCTTACGGGGCTTTTGGCGCTGGACCGTTTGGCTGGGGATGTATCCGAAATTCGTAAGACCCTTTTTGTGTAACATTTGATAAAGTCATCTATAGCTATGTCTGTTGTAATTG